CCTACTAACCATTCAGGACTCAGCTCAGCATTTCTTCTCCCTAACTGCCACCTCGGCTGAGAGCTCTTCTAAGCTCCCAGCATCCTGTCCCCACAGCCATCTGAGCATGAATTAAATGTAAGGTGTATTCATAATTCATAATTATACACCTGTCTGCCCCACTACACGAGACCTGTTTGGATCTTAATCAAATCCGTACTCGGCAGTGGTGGGAAGCACCTAAATTTCTTGGCCTGAACAAACAGGATGGAAGGGTCTATGGGCCCAGTGGAAACACAGGAGTGCTGGGTGGCTGCACTGTCACGGCCTCCTTCCTTCACTGCTGCAGACCCCCGTGCACAAAGGCTGGCTGTATTCAGAATGAATGCGTGGACCCAGACTGAGCAGTTTATACCTGCTGCCCAGGTACAATTAATAATAATTGCATTCCCTTTGTCCTCAAAGACATCTTGATTTGGATGAAGCTTATTTGGCCCCTCTAGCCACAGCAGAACCAGTTTGGGGGGATGAAAAAAAGGGTGGTGCAACACAGGCAGCCTATTGTCATCAGAAAGAGAACGAGAACTTGATGGCTTTCCCATAGTCCCTTGCCAAAGGATCTCCCGCCATTCATCTCACTACAAGAGCCTTAGAAATTTGAATGACACCATATCAGAGGCAAATGGGAACTCCGTATCAGAGGCATGAGAATGTCTCACATATAATAGAAAACTGTGATCTGGAGTCATCATCTGGCTCCACCCACCACTCCATAAAAGTCAGTCGCTGCCCAGTGAGAACCAGGACCCTGATAGAGGTGGGTGCAGGTCACAGCGAGACAGCACCGTGAGAAAGAACTTGGGCTGTGCCATGTAGAAGACAGGGACCTGGGCAAAGCCAAACCACTCAGTCGGAGAGAAGCAAATGGAAGGCACTGTGGTTGACAAGCTGGGCTTGGGAGCCTCCCAGGAGCTATACTGGGGACAGTGATGTCAGCATGGGGATAAACCTGGCAGCTCCAAGCCCTGTTCCAGCTTCAACAGATAACTCTGCTGTTACCCATATTTTTTCTTTCACTTCATCATAGTTCTCAGATCTTATGCTGTTATCAATTTTTGATTCTATGAATCCAGGTAAGAATTGGTTTCCAATGAGGTTCTCTCTTTTTAAGTTTGAAAATCCTTGGATTAGGGCCCCTTGCAAGAGTACAGGGAGGGACCTAGAAGAATCATGAGGTCATGACTGTGGGCTCCAGGGTCAGAAGGGGTGAAATCTCAACCTGCCGTGTAACCCTAGACATGTCACTGCATGTCTCTGTGCCTCAGTTTCCTAATCTGTAACATGCAGGCAACAACAGAACCAACCTTCTATGCTCATTATATAGATCAAAGGAGTTATTTCAAATGAAGTTCTTAAAGCAGTGCTGGACACATGTAAGCATTGGGTACACTCTGTACCAGGAGTCCTCAAACTACAGCCCGCAGGCCACACGCAGCCCACTGAGGATATTTATTCAGCCCACCAGGTGTTTTTGCCACCACTGCCTGTCCTGCTTAGCAGCCAACTCATCCCCGGGCCTGCAGTCTGGCCCTCCAACGGTCTGAGGGACAGTAAACTGGTGGCCCCCTGTTTAAAAAGTTTGAGGACCACTACCCTACACACTCCTATTCAGATTTCTCAAGTCAGGTCTAGCTATTTTAGGGGAGAAAGAAATGCCAGACATTTGAGGTATTTACATCTCTGCCAGTAGTCATGGTTATGAGCAAGTTCTTCTTGCTGTCAGGCAGAAATCACCCATGAACCTATCAATGAGCAGTGAATTTTTCTTCCAAGGTGAAAAAAAGAGAAGAAGTCACAAAACCCCAGCATAGTCAAGTATTCTTTGCCTAAAAACTCTCTTCAATTCAGAATAGGGCCATTGCATACAGCACAGGACTAAGCAATAACGTAAGAATTTGAATTAAAAAATGACACACAATCTTGTAAAATGGTCAAGGCCCACACTGTTTAGTAGTTTGGAAGCCTCATTCACCACATCTGTAAAGTGGGGAAAATCACTTGGGCGGTGCCTGTGGCTCAGTGGGGAGGGCGCCGGCCCCATATGCCGAGGGTGGCGGGTTCAAACCCAGCCCCAGCCAAAGTGCAACAATAAAAACAGCCAGGTACCTGTAGTCCAGCTACTCAGGAGGCTAAGGCAAGAGAATCACCTAAGTCCAGGAGTTGGAGGTTGCTGTGAGCTGTGTGACACCATGGCACTATACCAATGGTGAAAAAGTAAGACTCTGGCTCTACCAAAAAAAAAAAGGAAAGAACATCACACTCCTAACCACAGAGCTGTAGTGGAGATTTGATTAGACAATGCATGAGGACAATTAGAGTGCTCAGCACACAGTAAGACCTCAATATGTGGTGGCTGCTATTGTAATTATAACAATGTACAATATATATGATGATACAAAATAATATAACCGTTAACACTGCAGTTTCCCCACTTTCCCAAATAGAGCATGCACCAAGCCACCTTCTAAAGGACTTAGCACAATAGGACAGAGCCAGCCCAGAGTGGCAGACAAAGAGTCAGAGCTCAGCCAGCACCTAAGTTTCGTCACCAAGAAGGGACAAGTCAAGTTCACCTGCCATACCGCCCGCCCCCAGCTGCCCTCAGCCACCCCCAGCCTTACCAGCCCCCAGGCTCCTTGGAGACATTGTGGATGAGGGCCCCACGGCAGAAGCTCAGCTCGTCACTTTGCTTGGCTTTGTAGTCATACAAAGCTTTCACCGTTCTCTGAGGCTTTCAGGGAAAAAGGAGAAAGAGAAGGTCAGGCCAGGGGACAGGAGGAGGAGGCAGCATCTGCATTCCCCAGCACCATTTGGTTCTTCCCCTGGGAGGTGGCTTCAGGTCAGGGTTGTAGCACCATCTTCTGGCCAGAGACTGGCATTGCAAAGGAGCACCCTTCCCTCTACTCCAACTCCCAAAGTCACCTGGAATAACCCAAATTGCTCTATTTCCTCAACAAAGAAAGGATATGCCTTTTAGATTAAGTCACAACCACTACCACAGTGCCCGGGCTCAACAACCCTCCAAGAAATTCAAGGACAACACCATTTCCTAGCCATCCTGGGTGCCCCACCACTATTCTCATGCAAGCCGTGGTCCCCTAACTAGGCTCCCGCAGGACACTGACACCTTGCAGGAGTGACTGAGGCACTTCTCTATGAAATCATTCCAAGGTGGGCTCTGTTGGCAGAAACAAGATAGAACTTACTTGCAATAGAATTTGTTTTCAATGAATTTGTTTTAATGCCTTCTGCTCAGCAAGTGTAAATCCATGACAAAATGAACACCCACACAGCAAGCAAATATTAACAGGAAAACCTCTGAAATTGTCAAACCTGTTTAGATCAGCGGCTTCCCTCTTCTCCCACCCACAGGAAATGGGAACAGGAATTTTACAAGGAATCAGGAGAACTATCTGTCAGAGCACAAGCTACAGAGTCAGGCGGGAAAGTTCAAATAAATCACTGTTCTGCCCTTTTATAGTTTGAGTCTCTCTGATCCTCTGGTCCCCATCTGTGAAATGGGAATCAAACTTTTACTTGCATTTCACAGGGCTGCTGAGACTATTAAATGAGGTAATGCATGTAATGATAAAAATAACAAGAACATGCATTTCTTAAGTGCTTACCACAGTCACACCATCACTCTAAGCCTCCTATTAACAGCATCTTCTTTAATCCTTACAACAACACTAACAGGTGGGTTGTTATATGTTATGCCCATTTTACAGATGAAGAGACTGAGGCACAGAGAAATGAAGTACCTCACCCAGGATGAACCAGAAGTGAATGAGTTAAGGTGAGTTGTTGCCATGGTTCATGATGGTCCATTAGAAGTCACTGTCTTTCTCTCCCAATCCCCTCCACAATAGAGAACCTCTACCTGTGTATCCCACTTCGAGAGTGGGTAGAAGGACAGGAGCCAGACTTTAAGGCCACAAGTGGCATAGGGGGTGCCATACAATGGCTTCTACAGGGAGAAAGCCTGTAGCCTCCCTCATCAACTAAAAAGAGAGAAGCTATTGTCTACCAGATGACCAAGCAGGCGTGTGGCAGGGCCAAGTGGTCAAGCTCCATCCCTGACTAGCTGCGTGATCATGGCAATTATTCAATCACTCCATGCCTCAGTCATCTTCTGTAAAATGGGCACAAACACAGTACCTACCTCACAGGGCTACTCTGAGGATTAATGAGCTAAGCACCACCAGGAGCTTGGAACAATGCCTGGCACGTGTTACCTACGATTATCCATCTAGCTATTCCAGCTCCAATGACTCACTCAAAGGCAATAATGCAGAAGAGACCCACAGTCTTGTGCATGGAGGGGTTTACTGTAGGGTTAACTTGAAAACCAAAGGCCAGGCT